ATACAGAGGCAGAATTTATAGTTTTTAGAATTTTTGTATGTCTGTCTGCCTGCCTGCCTGCCTGCCTGCCTGCCTGCCTGTCTGTCTGTCTGTCTGTCTGTCTGTCTGTCTGTCTGTCTGTCTGTCTGTCTGTCTGTCTGACTGTCTGTCTGTTACCTCATCACGGAAAAACCACTGGAGGGATTTTGATGAAATTTGGTATGATGATAGCTGGTTATCTCGGTCAACATATAGGATACTTTTTATCGAGGGAAAATATCTCATTTCTGAGAAAAAATACAGAAACTGCATTGTAAGAGTATACTAATATGTAAATTTTTTATGGTAGTCTGCGCAGGAAATGCTAGTTTATATATAAGTAAGACACCTGTAAGTTTTAATACATTTAGAAATATTATGTATGTCTGTCGATAATAAAAAAACTTTGTGCCACAGTTATTTCTACATCACAGACAACAATAATAAAAATAATAGTAGGTTTTTAAAAATATAAAAGAGCTCAAGCTGACAAATACTAAACGTTAGAATATAATTATATGAATCATGTATTTCTATTGTAATAATTTAATTGTAATCAACAAATCTCACCAGTAAGTGCAGTCCTTGACACGTGCCTAACAAATATAATATTATCTTTGTGAACATTTACAATAATTACGCGTTGCATTTTTCTGCTGAGAATAAGAACTGTTTGTTGTACTAGAGCAGCGTTGTTAGTTAAAACATCGTTTATTAAAACTGGGTTGACGTGTGCCTTACTTATTCATTATATTTTTTTTAAACTAACACAAGATTAATTTAGGGATGCAATGAAAAATAATAAAACTTTATGATGATACCTAGACATGATGTTATTGTCACGCTTCGCTCGGGTTCGTCCCTACGTTTTACCGTTACGTTTTAACGTTTAGTATAGATTTCTCAGAGATCAGATATTTTCCCGCTGTAAAAAGTATCCTTTTTTTTTAATTATGTAGATTTAAAAAATTAGTGTAGGATCTTTGTGACCTTTTTTTTATTGGATTCAGTTGATCCCGCATACAAACTATGTTATCTATCTATACATATAATTAAATATTTTTTTGGAAAATCTTATAGAAATAAACATTATTTTCGATACAGATGCCAAATCTATAGTTTTTAGAATTTTTGTCTGTCTGTCTGTCTGTTACCGCATCACAGAAAAACCACCGAAGGGATAATGATGAAATTTGGTATGGAGATTGTTGGTTCTCCAGGTCAATATACAGGATACTTTTTACCGCGAGAAAATATCTCATTTCTGAGAAAAAATACAAAAACTGCAATGTAAGTGTATACTAATATGTAAAACCTAAGAATTTGGTTTTTGGTCATCTGAACGCGGGCGGAGCCGCGGCCAATGCATAAACAACATTGTAATAGTTATTATGAATCATGTCCCTCTGATTAACTCATTCTGACATCATCATAAAATTGCAAAATATTATTTTTGTTTATTTGTAAACAAACGGAAAATCCGTACCGATTACGATACGATTTACTTCGTATGGTATTAGGGGTTTACATATAAGGTTTCAGTGACAAAGCGAATAAGTATAAAAGATCGTGATGATCGAGAAACAAACGAAATTGATTTTTTACTGCAATTTCTATATAGACTCTTCTATATAATGGAACAAGACACTGAAGGTTCCTGTGGGTTAAAACGGTATTTTTACTTAAAGACAGATTTAAAACAGAATTCAATCAAATTGAATTCGACCAAAATGAATTTCATCAAAATCTGTCCAGTGGTTTTCTCGTGATGTGTTCCCAGACAGGCAGACAGACAGACAAATAGATAAAAAAAATAAAAAGTAAAGCTTCGGCTTCTGTATCGATAATAAATATTATTTCAATAAAACTCAAAAAATATTTATCACCTCCAGGTAAATTTCTAAGAAATCTATTGTTAACTGTAACGCCGGCGCGTCCGCGGTCGTGGAGGGAATAATGTGCAGATTCGACTCAAAATTTTATTATATAGATTATAGATAAATCTATAAATAAAGATGAATCTATCCGATGCTAGCTAGTGTCACTAGGATCGCGTGGCCGTACGTTACAGCACGCGACCATTGTTTACCTTTAAACGAGCACGCGGGGTCAGCCGGCACGATCAGTGAAGCGCTAAATTGCTGATTTAGCTACATCAACCATTATTTGTACCTACTTCTTTTTATAGCAAGAACATATTCATCGTTTTAAAAATACCACGAACGTATATAATATAATGTAATAAATATTAATAAAACTATCTTTTCCGATTATTTCGCGGATTTAGTTAGATGGTCATTGAGTTATAGCATTCGCCATATTATAATACAGCTGGATTTAAAGTAGATGCGTTTTACATATATTCATTTACAACATATATTGCGATTAAATTACGTCGTTAGTGATTATCTTCGCAAAGAGCATGATATATGAATAGAGCATAGAGCATGATGAGCATTCGTGCTCATCACACAGTTGAATGCCCAAGCGGAACTTGAACCCGCGACCGCTGGCACAGCAAGTACGGTCACTACAAACTGAGCCAAACGTGTCGTCAATAATGATTGAAAGTTCAATAACACTAGTGGCTAATCCTAGTAATTTTATCCTACATTAAGTTGGAAGGTCCGTGAAATGACTGACGCAAAACGTAAATGTATAATTTTTCCATCTGATTCGTCATCTAATTGGTACATATGATATCGTAATAAGATTACGTACAGTAGGACAACACACACGTAATTGAGATGCATACATACGTAACGTTAGTGCGGTAGGATGTCATTTTCTGATAAACCTTGAGATTTTTCTAAGCAAAGTATTATTAAAGATTTTTCTACACTATTATTACTTCTCAAATATGAGTAGTGAATAGGTACACTATGTTTAAATGAAACGGCAAGTTTACAAAATATATCAATAAAAAAAAATCTCAAATGTATAAATCACTAGCGACTCGCCCTATCTTCCCTAGGTTGATTCCCCATACAAATTTTCATGCCCATTTTCACCCCCTTAAGAGATGATTTCCGGGATAAAAAGTATCTTATATCCTTCGCAGGGTCTCAAACTATCTTTTTACTAAATTTCCTCTAAATTGATACAGCAGATCCAGAGATTATCTCCTGCAACCTCACAAGCTCATAAACTTTACCTCTTCATAATATTAGTAGAGATAGTATAGATTTATGCGAATTACAGTTACTTGAGTTAACTTTAAGTAATTAATTTAATAAAATATAACATTTCCAATTCCTTACTCCGTATAATCAAAATGTGGAATTAGTAGGTTATAACCACAGTGTACTAAAACGTAGAGTCAGTTTCCGTTCTACATAGAGTCAGTGAAAGAGGTTGTTGACTTCACATATTAATTCTAAATGTAGAACTATCGGTATACTAAATTCATGAAGAATTACTTAGCGGTTAAATTTCCATTCGTTGTAAATTACAAGGAATAATTACGTATCAATGGAAATACATACGAAATGTCCCTGCAAAGCTTATAAGGCTTCTTGGTAATATTCCGTAAAGGTTTCCGTTCGTATATGGCTTTGACGAACAAACAATTATCTAAACAGTAGTTTTACTTATTGCATCCTAAGTTATTTTATTCTATAATTTTATGACGTTATCGACATATTTTTTTTAAATTCATTAAAGTTGCCACACTTATTATATATTCGTAAGGAAATCTAGTTTTTTTAAGGTGATAAATAGCACTAATCTAATCTGAGTATCGATAATAATTAATCATTATTTTTTTTATTTTTTCTATCTATACTTCAAACAAAATCAAACATTCAAAATTTAATTTTAACAAATTTTTTTCTTACTAATATGAAGAAAGGTCTTTACTTATTTAGTTACTAGCACTAGCCCTCGTTTTTTCCCGCGTAATTTAAAAATAACGGTATTCCATACAAACTTCGTACTTCTTTTTTACCATTTTAAGGGTTGACATTTCAAAAATCTATCCCTTAATGTAGAATCTACCTCCAAATTTCAAGTTCGCAAATAAGTTTTTAAACAGCAAAGTCGTTCAAAAATAAAATTGATTGTGTTAATTAATATGAAGTGTAAAAAATTTATTTATTATTTACCTACTGCAGTAATTAAAAATGCAATTATATGAAGCAGAGTGTATTTAGTATAGCGTATCGTGACAATTTGACTTTAGGTTTCCAAGAAGCCAAGATGCTTCAAAGGAACTCGTAAAGTATTTCTGTTATAAGATTTTCTAAAACCTGTCAAAACGTCCATTAACAATGAATTTGAAACGAACTTAGGAAACCACGATAAGTGTCATAATAAAAGTAGATTTACTGCTTTTTATCCAGTTCTTTTTAAAAATATAATAAGTACTAATCATTATTTTTATCATAAAATATCTTCAACTCCATATACATATATTACATATATATGTATGTATAGATGTTTTAAATATTCTATATTTATTATTATTTAGCAAGAAAATCAACTGACGAAAAAATAAACTAAAAGATATATAGAATAACCTTTATTAATCTAAATAACTGAAGTTTTTTTATATTTCTGTTTACGTTTAAGTTTTTATTTTATTATTTTACTGGCTAAAATATACTAATGAATACCTTCAATAATTAAATTGGTAACTAGTGAGTAAGTTTAGTGGTGTTTTTTTTTTTATTGAGTTTGACGCAATTATCCAAGTTAGCCAGCTGTGTTAAAAAGTTACACGTCATATATAAAAAAATAAATAAAAAAATGCACGCGTAGAAAAGAACTTCCACGGGAAACACTTGAAACATTCCTTTTTTTGTCGGTTATATAGGTACATGTACCTTAGGCTCTATCTCTAATAGGCTCAAACGCTCAAATGATTAATGCCAATCATAATAATAAAAATTAAAAAGAAAACAGTTGTCTTTACCTTTACAAATTTAGCAAGCAGTTTAGTTATATATATATATTTAAAAAATTAGGTATCTGTTATCTTGTCACATATAAACATGACCAGGATCCACCGAAGTGGGCCACCAGCGTTGTCTTTTGGTTTCATGCCCGGCTGGGTTGCCAGACGCTAATGAGCCCAGCACCACGACAAGGGGGGGGGAGGAGGGAGTAGGGGAGGGGGAGCATATGATCCTGCTTTATATTGATAGTTAAGTTATAGATAAGTTATTGAACTTTGATCCTCACTAAAACCTTTTAACAGCAAGTAACAATAATATCAATATTAGTACGTTATCTTTGTTACCGATAAGCAAAACGCTTATTTGAATACTTCTGTTCAAATATATCGGTCTTTTTGATATTGTTCAGTTCAACTATGGACAAACAAATATTTGTGAACACGTTTTAAATTTATAACACTATTAACAGTAAATAAATATGATTAGTAAATAAGTAATACAACACTTTAATCAGCAATTTGTAATGAAAAGTATATTGCCCGATTTCACCAACATCCCATAAGCTACCACCTACGTATGGGATCCTTAGCTTAAAAGTTCCCCTGAACTAGCCCCTAAATTAATTTTTGTTTTACCATCGTCAGAGCCCGTATTTCTAGTACCTATATTTAGGTGGCATTTTAACATTTAGGTGACCCCTAACTGTCGGCGAAATAGAAACTGCTGTTAGGGGATAACAGCCCCCTAACCATGCTTAGGGGATCCCTTAAACTTAGGTGACGTCGGTGAAATCGGCCGTATATCGATTTTATAAAATTCATTCCTTGACTGATTGTCAGACAACGTAAGAGTCTATACTGCTTTTAAAATTGAAATTTTACACAACGGTTTTATTTATCCTTATATAAAGAAGGAAGGCATAAGTTTCATGTTCATTCATAATCTTTGTAAACTCAAATACTTAAAAATGTATATAGTAAATTACAATCGAAATATTATAATTATCAAAATATATAATTATAATTATCAAAATATATAAAAATTACTATTAGTAATTATTTTAAACTAAAAAGCTACACCGAATTCCATAGTTAGAGGATCGAAAGTTTAAGAGACGACTCTAATGGTATTGGCAAATTATTAATATAGATGAACAGTAAACTTATATTTGAACTGAGTATATTTACCGTTTTTAAAGTTGGTTTAAAATAAATAGGATTTTATAAATAGACGTTTAACTCTTAGATATGTATATAGGTCAAACCCTGGTAAGTGTTCACGCGTCGTAAATGAGAAATGGCTCGACTGACCCCATTATCAGTTTTGGATAAATCTAAATAAATTTTACTGGTTTATATTTCAAACCAGCAACTCACTCTTGCTTTGCTCGGGTTCGTTCCTAGGTTGATTCCCCATACAAACTTTCATTCCGATTTTCACCCTCTTAAGGGATGATTACTAGAACAAAAAATATCCTATCCTTTCCAGGGTCTCAAACTATCTTCTTACCAAATTTCATCCAAATCGGTCCGGTAGTTTTAGAGTTTATTCGTTACAAACGTACATAAGTACTAATCTTTCCTGTTATAATAGTAGTGTAGATGTACAAACATATGTTAAGTAATGCAAAATTATTTGCATTGCATGTTTTGAGAGTTGCGTGCTCTATACTATCCATAACTATGTTAAAAATGACTTACAAGGTAATATCAAATCTAATTTAATCATAAGAACCAGAAGTCTTAAAATTAATTACTGTCTTAGCGAGGTCAAAGTTGTAGGCACATTTAATACTTTTTCTTATATTTTCTATGTTATCTATGTCAATTTCTTTGATCGAACGTAGCTTATTGACCGCTGGACGGATTTTAGTAATTTTTTTGTTATTAAAATAACAAAAAAGCTGATATTCTTTAAGAAACTTTCAGAAAGAATAATTTTTAAACATCCGTTTTCGCGCTTGCGCAGTGCACTACAACACGACTGATTAAATATGCCGAGCGGTGCCGCAGGTAGTAACTAGCACTTAAATATTTTTTATCTGTAACTTATTCGGGGTGGATTTTCAGCCATACTAAATACATAATACATAATACTAAGTCTCTATACTTTCTTTTTCTTCCTTAATTCTTTTTTAATATTAAATATATAACGTAATTTTTTATATATGTAATTTTAAATATAATATAAATATTAATAATAAACTTTTTAAATATATAACGCTGTATGTACTCTTAATCTATACATATAATAAAATTGTAACTAAGCTATGTCAATCTGATCTGAATCTGTACATTAGATATTTTTTCGAAAATCTTATTGAAATAAACATTATTATAGATACAGAGGCCGAATCTATAGTTTTTAGAATCTTTGTCTGTCTGTCTGTCTGTCTATTACCGGATCACAGAAAAACCACTGGAGGGATTTTGATGAAATTTGGTATGGTGATAGTTCCTATATAAAGCAAGACTATAGTGTATTGAACATAATTAGACAACCTCCTTTTTTGAAGACGTTTAAAAAAATGTAAGAAACTATGGAATATAATTATTATAATGAAGAATAAAAAACACACTGTTCTATTTAAATTCATTATAACATACCTTGTTTTAAACAAAACTATCATTTCGGATTATTTCGCGGATTTATTTTGATACTCTCCCGACAGTCTCTCCCGTAACCATGATTGCTGTAAAGCATTCGAAACGTCAGAAACCAAAAATCAAAATAAATCCGCGAAATAATCCGAAAAGATCCATTTTATTTAAAATGTCAAATATTCGCGTATACCATGTTTCTTATGATAATGATCATAGAAAATGAGGTTCAAATTATTTTGCTAAACACGAACTCCATAAACTTACAGTTTATTATACAGGGAAATACAAACGCAAGTTCTGAATATTAACACAATCGAGATGACCCCATTACGCCAGATCTTGTCAGTTTTCTCCGTTATCGTACACAAACCAAGAAAACATTCGTATGAAAAGCTTCTGTAGCTTTAAACTACATGAACGTAAATAAATTTAATAATAAAATCAGCATAACTCACTCGTCATTTTATACGAGTTTGATTTAGCTGTGCTCTATATTTTAATCTTTATGACGTTCCTAATATTTTTTAATCTGTGGGTAAATTATAAAAAAAATACAAGCTTATCAATTTGAAATCATTCTTTTATTTTTAACCCCTGACGCAAAAATGATGGGGTATTATAAGTTTGACGTATCTGTGGTATCGTAGCTCTCGAACGGATATACCGATTTTGATTTTGTTTTTTTTTTTGTTTGAAAGGTGAATTAATCGGGAGTGTTCTTAATTATGTTGGATGAAAATCGGTCCAAGATGGTCGGTTTTTTTTTAATTTTTAATTTATCATATAATAATTGCAATAATCTTTCCATTTACATAAAATTCATTTTTTGTTAAACCTTCATGAGTTCTTTGGGGTTTAATAACCTGAGGTTTCGCATAGAAACTGCTAGGATGATATTGATATTTTCTATAACTATATTTAACTATTTATTTATTTTTTTAGTAGCTATTTATTTATTTTATTTGTATTTTGTTTTACTAACATAGTTCTTAAGTAATTATTGTACTAACAAACTATGAGCCTATGTTGCTCGCTAATAAAAGATTTTTATTTTATTTTATTTTTATTATTTATTATTAACTCGTTGAGTCTACTCTAGTCAGTAGCTATAATAATATCAATGGTAAATGAAGTCACGATCGTTTGAATTGGAGAATTTATGTTTATGATTATATAGTTAATCGAGCAAATGTAAGTGCGAATACGTTACACACTAAAATGGAAGTAACGGTTGATATCAGATAAATTTGCACGTTATCTAAAAATATAGAAATTGATTTAGTTAATATAAACATTTTTATTCAGAAGGATTATCGAGTCAGAAAATACCGCGGTCTTGAAGACAGTGCCAGAGAAAACTCTACAAAAAAGTTGAAATATAATCGCACCAAATATTTAAAGTAATTCATAAATATATTTTAAAGACATATATTTACGCTAAAATCTATACATAATTCTAACGAAGTCGAATCTGTACATTAAATATTTTTTGGAAAGACTTATTGGCATAGACTCTATTATCGATACAGAAGCCAAATCTATAGTTTTTAGAATTTTTGTCTGTCTGTTACCGCATCACGAGAAAACTACTGGACAGATTTTGATGAAATTTGGTATGATGATAGCTGGTTATCCGGGTCAACACATATAGGATAATTTTTACTGCGGGAAAATATTTCATCTTTGAGAAATCTATACAAAAAGTTAAAACATAAGTAGGGACGAACCCGAGCAAAGCGAGGTTGAGTCGCATATATATTTGTAAACATTTTTTTTATTTACGATGGTTCCCAATAACCTATTTATCTAAAGGAAAACTCAACTTACAAGAGATAAAAAGACAACCTCTCTACAAATTATGTCAATTCTATCGGTAGGAAAGAAAATCAGAGATATATATATATATATATATATATATATATATATATATATATATATATATATATATATATAGATTATTGAGAACCAAAACTAATGCATAGGTATATAGGTAGGTACCTCGATAATAATTTTGTATAAAAATGTACAACATTTTTTCTTACCACTAAACTGGTAATGATAACATGCTATTAATACCTTATTACTTATATTATCATTAGGTAAATAATTGTTTGTTGCTTCCGGTATATTACTGCATATTATTATAATAGTGATACTTAAACACACAATTCATTCTTATTACTTCTAACAAGACGTTACTTGTTATCTAACCAATGGGTAAACATGTGAGCGAATGGATACATATTTTTCCTTGATTCTTAGGACATAGTAAATAATAAAAAAATATTACATTCGAAATTGGTAGTAGTAGCCCAGTGGCAACGCGCTCGCTTAGGAAACCGAGTGAAACGGGTTCGAATCCCGGATCTCGCACCTCTAATATTCACATATGCGAATCATTTTCCAACATGATTACCAACTGTCTTACCGTGAAGGAAAAAATTGTCTGGAAATCTACATGTCTGAGAGAACCTAGCAAGTATTCAAAAGACATGTGAAGTCCGCCAGCACGAACTTGACCAGCGTGGTGGACTATGGCCTGATCCCACTCGTATTGAAGGGAGTCCCGTGCCCAGCAGTGGGACGTTAAAAAGTGCTGAATATTTTTTTTACATTCAAGATTGACTATTCTTTCATACATTCAAAATGTACAAAATCTCGGATTTGTGTATTCTGCGGATTTTAAAAATTTCAGAATTTTATCTAACTAAAAAATATTTTTTTAAAACAGATTAATTATATTCGATTTCATTTATATCAATGAAGGTGCATTTGAATCGAAACGAAACCAGTGGCTCCCTCTAGAACAAGATACACTATAAAAAAAGAACTATTTATATAACAACAGCGTACTTACATTCAATGAACAATTGCAAAAACATGACTGTTAATGAAACAACAAAAAATATATAAAAACGCGTGTATGCGTAAAAGTTGCCATAATTAAAGCCTGAAACCGGACGAGGCGGTTTGCTCTTCATTATTCTGATGGGAACATTCCTAACCAACGAGATTTTCATAAAAAAGTTAACTAAACAAACCAGCCCTTTGCATTCTGAAATAAGTACCTAATATAAACTGACAAAATAATAGCGCTTATATTCATATTTAAAGAATATATTTCTCGATTTATAAAAAAACATTAAAGAATTAAAAAAAAAACAAATTTAAAATTAATAATTAGATAATTATTCTTGGGGAATGCAAGTACAATTCATAGAATTTTTTTTAATATATACATTCATTTAAAATAGGTAAAGAACCCGTTTTACAATTGCAGAAGATATAATATCGAACCAAACCAACCTCAATGAGAGTACAGCCAGCGCAGGAGATATTATACTGTACAACTATACGTGCAGATACAATATACAGTGTTTTCTTTTACTCCCAAATTCCAATGCGTCGACAATTCGACAGTCCCGGTGAGAGATCAGCGTAACAGGCTCGTATTAAGCGTAAATATACGCATACGTATGTAATAGAGATATCATTTGTATATTATCATATATTTTGCTATCCTCATGAACCTAATACTATAAATGTTAGAATCCGTTTAAATCCGTTCGCGTAATGACATAGACTATTATTTATCCCGATATATTAATAAGTTGTTTACGTATTATATTAGTTTTTTGAAAAACCTACCGTCAACTCTATCTGAATGTCCGTTACTTTACTTGTTCTTTTTTTTTAATTACAAGTATACTTAATTATATATACAAAACAAATGTACACTTAATTATTACTGTACAAGTCATATCGTGGAATTGTGGCAAGAATGCTAGCTGCATTCCCTCCCTCGCTGACTGGCAATGCCGATTCTTTGGGCGAGAACGAGCCAGCTCTCCTGTCACCAGTAGAGACGACAACACGAGTTGTATGTCTTTTTAAGAAGTATTTAGCACTTTCACTCCATAGACAGTTTTTACAGAAACTGGTATAAAGAATAATTTTGACTAAGAGAGGCGTGTTTACGCAACTTGAGTAGTTTAACCCGTTGCTTGCTCTCGTATAAAGGGAGAATCATGAATGACGGTAAGCCAAAAAGAAACAACAATGAGACTAGTTAGTTAAAAGCAAGTAATAAATGTCATGTCGGTTAAATTTAACCAACTGGTTAAAGCAAACCTTATAATTACTGCACAATGGCGAAAATTGTAACTCAATAATACTTCCGTGCTATTTACTTTCTCTGTCACATTTGCCCGCTAAATATAAGGTATCCTAATAAATGTGACTGATTAGATAAAATTATCTTTTCGATTTTTTCCCGGATTTATTTTAATTATCGGTCCCCGGTGTTTCGAATGATTTATATCAGTCATGGTCGCGGGAGAGATTATGTATGCTGTAAAGCTTTATAGTTTTATTTAAAATATTAAATATTCGTGTAAATTTAGGAAAGTAAATGACTGGCTAGGTTTTGCACTCGGATCTGTCCAAATACATCAAGCAATGTATATATATATATATATTAATGATATGAGGTATCTCCATTCCAAACATGCAAACTCGTTGAGCTGTTTCAACGTAAAAAAGTTACAAGCACATACATTCATATATGATATCAGATCTAGTTATTGTTAATATGGGTTAAGTAAAATTATTTCGATTTGTTTATGTTTTAATGGCATATTACACCCTTTAAATATTGCGTATTACATTTAAAATAATTCAAGAAAACGAAAAAAAATAAAATTGCTTTATATACCTATAGATGATATAGAGATATTAAAGCAATTTTAATATCTCAACTATTACAATATATAGTCTGTACAATATGTATTCAACATTTGTTCTAATTATAAGATAATACCTGGGCCACCGAGCTTTTGGTCACCGGTGTTTTGGTCAAAAGTACAATTTTCATTAAAAAAAAATTAAAAACTTGAATAAATACAAAAAAAAATTAACAAAAAAAAAAATTATGCGTCCATCTTGCGCATTAGTCGCTTGACCATGATGCATATGTTCGAGCGTGCGAAATTATCGACCATATTTTGCGTGGGATAATTTCTTCAAATAAAACGTGTCATTGATTGACCTATTAATTTCATTAAATATTACGCATAAGATAAATATATCGAAAATGATAAATAATTATATGTAAAATATACAAACGCGAATCTCAACTTAATAAAACAATAAAAAATTCGGTCATGAGGACTGCCGATAGAAGTGAAAATTTAAAACTATAAACAAACAGTTGTTATTTTTGGATATTCAAATTAATTGTTAAATTAAAACTGTTTACATTTATCTAGTTTTGACATCTATCGGCACTCTGAGTGTTAGAGTTAACACGTCACGTGATCATGTCGATGACGACTTACATGAATTTACTCCCCATCTAAATCTGCCTATAGAAGTTATCACTTCAAAAAATACAAAACATGACTCACCTAAGTAAACACGTGAGTTGCACGTCATTCTGGTAGCGTGCGAGTGCGGGCGCGCCCTCCACGCGCACCGCGTTCACTTTGTCGCGGAGGGACGTGCCGCAACCGCCGCAACGTTCCTTTAGTATGGACAGGATGTTTGGTTGTCTGAGGAATGCCACCACCTGAGAATAATCATATTATAAATAAATTGACCAGACAAATGTTATCCTATCCCAAAGTCTTACAAAATTTGAACCAAAAAGTACTACTGTAAAACTGCAAAAATGCACTTTCAGTTTACCGATTTTCAAGGATTTTTTTCCATTTTTCTACGACATTTATCAAAATGACAAATTAACCAACTCATCCGTTTACAAACAGATAGCATTTCATTTTTAAATTATATAGATTATAACGTAATGGCTTACTGAAAGATTTAGGGCACGGCGGCCATTCTCACTGAGATTTGCGGCAAAGGCTATGTTACAGTACAAAAGTGTATGTTCAGACATAATTAGTGCATTGTCTATTTCCTTTCATTCCCAAAGACCGGTGGAATGACAATTGGAGAGAAATTAGACGCAGGACGTGCAACTTTACGTATTCTTTTTACAGCAAAATATTAGAAAATATAAGACTAAAATATGACAGGGCAAATATGACTTATAAAAAAATAATAGACCACTTAATAGAGTAGCATGAAGTAAAGTATTTATTACTTTCTTAGATTCCCGCGAATATTTGACATTTTAAATATGTTTTCAAATGTTTTCGCGAATTTATTTTAATTTTTAGTTTTTAAATGGTTTACAGAAATCGTGGTCACGGGAGTCTTAGAGCAGACTTATTATAATAGAGAATGCAGCGACATTTCATTTCATATTTCACACATCGACGACGTGTATAATATGCTGGGTGCATGTTTTAAATATTATTTACCAACAAAAATTTATGCCATAAGAAAATTGAACTGGAGCTCTCCCTCATAATAAGCAGAGCTTGGCAATGCTATATATACACCACTGTACTGCAATAGTGATTTAGTCATTCGAATGGGCCTAGGTATATACTTTTATTTTCACTTTCAACCGACTTCTTCAAAAAGGAGGCGGTTCTCAATTCCTCGAAATCATTTTTTATGTATGTTCACCGATTAATCGAAGACGCCGGAATCGATTTGGAAAATTCATTTTTTTGTTTCAAAGACTACACTTCCCAGACCCATTTAAATTTTATCAAAATCGGTCGGGCGGTTTTTAAAAAATCAACAATAAATTATTTTTGAATAAATTACTCAATCCAATATGTTATGAAAAACTTTCTTCTAACAAACTACCTGCTCATTACTTCTAAACTAAAAATAGAATAAGAATGAGGTGAGAAATAAAAACTTAAAAAAAACCGACTTCCAGGCACTAAAGAGTAAAAATTACCAATGCCAGCCGATACAAATTAAAGCATACCGACTTCCAAAATCTCTGATTAAGTATCTATTCTAAATGAAAACCCCGTTTGATTATTTTTTACTGTTTAGTGCCTGGAAGTGGTTTTTTAAGTTTTTTCACTTACCTTATCGTTATATGCAATAGGAATTTCTTGCTGGTTATGATGCGGGTAAAAATCTGAATTCGTAACTGGTGGCCGTGGCGGAGGTGTTGGCGCCTGTACAAAAAAAAACAAAATTATTAACATTATTAAATACATTCATCCATAATAAAATCATCTTTATAATAAAAAAAATAACAACTACATACAATTTAACAATGAATAAAAAAACATACCATAATGCATAAACCACAGACTATAACAACAAATAAACGAAAAAAAATAAAAATGCATATTTTCAAACATAGGAAATGGAAACATGGTGATATATATCACTCATGGACGAGCAACAAAACCCATAAATACCATAAACGTTCTAGACGTTCGTGCAAAATAATATCTATTGTCTAATATAGCGTGCAAGAACGAGACGAAAATCATGCTACAAAGACAAACTAACAAAACACGAATTCATTTGCTATCTTGGATTTTGATCTGTGAATCTGTCTATGACTTTTAAAAATTGTGGGAATCTTTTATTATCAAATTAAATGATATTATGAACTTAATAAAACCCGATTGTAGTAAAAATAATAACAAAAAAAACTAAAAACAAAAAATTAATTTTCAATCTAGACGTTACTACCATTACTTACATGAATTATATTACTATAATCTGTACTTAATTTTTACATCTTTTTTTATTTTGTCACTAAAAGAAAAATAAACCAAAAATCAAAACCCAGATAGCAAATTCCGTCAAACAACCCTAAACAACCTGGTCAGGCATTATCGGCCGTCGCCGCGGCGGCAGGAGGGGCGAGAAGGGCCCCGCCTGCGGCGCGCGCGGCAGCCGCGGGTCGATGAACGTGGTGCGCCGCATGACGTGGTCCACGAAGAAGCGCTGCGGGTTCAGTCGGCGAGTGATAGTGATAGTTACAGTGACATTGACGTTTGATAGGTATTGTATCCAGCCCTTTTTAACGTCCCAGTGCTGGACACGGACCTCCCTTCAATACGAGGGGAATCGAGCCATAGTCTACTACGCTGGCCCAGTGCGGGTTGGTGGAATTCACATGTCTTTCGAAAACTTGATAGGTTCTCTCAGACATGCAGGTTTCCTCACGATGTTTTCCTTCACCGTAAGGAAAGTGGTATGCATGTTAGAAATGATTCACACATGAAAATATCAGAGGTGCGAGACCCGGGATTTGAACCTGCTTCACTCTATTTCCCAAGCGAGCTGGGCTACCAGTGCCTAATTGGTATTTAGATAGTTTTAATCTGTGACGTTGATATTAGATTTATTAATGTTATTTATTAATTTATTTTATGTTATTTACGACCTATATACTATTGATAAATAAAATTAAAGAAGAGTTTCATATCCCTTACGTGTCAGGAAAGGCTGAACTGATTTTAAAGAGATTTTTCTGGCTGACAGACCTTCCAAAGGATTATTATAGACATAATAAAGTAATAATATAAATATTAATACCTTTCCGTTTCTATCCAGCTTCGAATCCCATCCCAAGGGCAGTTCTCTGTCCGTCTCACTGAACATGTTAACTAGCGCGACGAGATCCCGATTGTGTTGGTACCGTTCGAAGGACGAGGTGTCTCGCCGGATTTTTGAAATCATATGTTTGAGGGTTGAATTGCAATTGTAAAGAGATGACGCTTCCTGTAATAAAAAAAATATGTTATAATAGTTTTACGAGGTATTATAGACCACAAAATAATAATATAGATCAATATTTACTTCCATAATTACATAATAACTATTATGCATAGGAAATATAAATGAGCAAAAGTGTAATACTTCTTCAGGATATAAGTCAATCTATACAGATAAATAAAATTGAAGTGTCTGTTTGTAGTGTCAAAATAACAGCTTTTTACTAATTATTACATATGAAATTATATATGGAACTTATAAGAAAAACACAATTTTTGAAACTTTTGTACGTCAGTTTGCTCCGGCTAATGTCTGAAACGGATGGGCTGATTTTGGCGGGACTATAGATGGCAGATAGGTGATGTTATAAGGAGTAACTAAGGCTACTTTTATTTCAGAAAACGAATTAGGGTCCCGCTCAAAAAATATATATATATACGTAATAATATATTTATGTCCATGGCTAAGAAAAGGTTAAAGCAATATTATAATAAAATCATTCGTTATGTGTTCATCCAAATTATCTCCATTTTGAATTTTATTGAAAATTTATTTTCGTCAACTAATATTCATTGCCATAATATTAAAATAAAAGCCAATTTTAATTTGAACTCACCAAATTCATATGCAGTATAGAGTAGAAGTCCGGTCTCGCTAGGAACTCGGCCGCCGGGTGGGGGGCGTGGGGCACTTGGGTCTCAGGCCGGGACGTGCTGGCCGCGGGCGGGGGAGACGAACTGGCCCCACGCTCCTCTTCGCCTAGCTGGGTTCGAGTCATTGTGCGACGTATTGATTGGTATCTGGAATCAAATTATAGATAGTTAATAATTTCCAATACATATATTTGTTAATTGAAAAATTGCCTATTATTTAATGCAGGATATGAGCTCTCTTCAGTCGGAATTTTACTAAAATCTGTGCAGCCGTTGCAGCGTAAATGAAAAACAAACAGTCATTCAAACATTTCGCATTTATTATGTAATTTTATTTTGATTTTATCGTAATAAAACACTAGTGAATTGTCAAGTTACTTGGGCGATGATTATACCCTAATTTAGGTGCCACAAAACATATTATATAAACACCTCCAGGTGAATTTCTAAGAAATTAATTAAATTTTTAAGAAATCTATTGTTAACTGTAACGCCGCCGGCGTGTCCGCGGTCGTGGAGGATTAATATAATATCCTAAAAGCATTATTTCATATACCAAGATATTATTCATGAAAGAATTTTCAGGATCTGATTAGTAGTTCCGGAGTTAATTTCAAACAAAATCACATCCAACCATAATTCTACAACATTGATTATAGCAAGATACTCGTATGTAGAAATTGTTGCAAATTTAGGAAACGATCTCCATAGCGTTTACATTATATAAAAGTAATTCATCTTGTCATTATATACATTGAACGTTTCCAAAAGCAGCAAATATTAAAAAAAAAAACTTATCATCAATATTGTTGCCAGCAAATACTTCGAGCAAAACAAAATGAGCTAAATAAGGAGAACATTAAATCCAAAATGGCATTTTTACCTTCGATCTAACTGCCTCCTTTGTACTTCAGGCGCGGGCGATCTCGGAGCGCTTCCATTGGCGGCGGGCCGCTGCCACGTCGTCGTTCGATTGATGTGGTCTATATAGAACACGCGACCATGGCTGTCCATACGTGCCTCCCAGCCTGCAATTATGATCAGACTAATCATATAATGATTATATTAATAAGCTTACAGATAAATAAAATTGAAGTGTCTGTTTGTAATGTCAAAATAACAGCGTTTTACTAAATGCATATGAAATTATATACGGTACTTATAAGAAAAACACATTTTTTTTAAAATTCTGTCTGTTTGTTCCGGATAAACTCTGAAACGGCTGGACTGATTTTGACGGGACTTTCACTGTAAGGTAGCTGAAGTTATAGGGAGTAACATTGGCTACTTTTATTTTAGAAAAAAAATTAGGGTTCCGTTCAAAAAAATTAAAACGTCGCTAGTTATATGAATATAGATGTAGGATCCGGGAATAACAATAAAAGCGCTTAATAACACTCCCACTATATCTTATATTAAAATTATAGAAAACCACGTTCACGGGTATTCTCGTGCCGCCATTATAACAAATCATCTTTCTTTACTTTTATTCATCTTTCATTCCATCCTACACTTACAATAATATTATACGTCTTTTTTACTCTAAAATCATTTCACGCATACTTATAATCTCGCAAATCTCACATAGATGTTGATCTTTTGCAATTTTACTACAGAACTAGATATTGAGCATATAAAATATTAAAACTTTTACCAGGTTATAATTTATTATAATGACCTCAAGTGTAGCGAAAGCTACGATAGCCGCCAATACTTAATCTAGGAATGAGTATAAGAGACATGAAAAAAAGTTGGTACCAAAATATTTCACCCTCACAACATATTGACATACATTTATTTTTTATAATTTCATAATCATTTCATCTACTAGCAATTTAATATATAATGTTAAATTTTAAAACAAAGATTAATCTATAAACAGTATAAATGAATTTGGTGTTAAGAATATAATTTAAAAAAAATTTTTTTAGTCTGACAGACAAAAAGAAACTTTCCGGTGCTTAAGCTTCTGGTATTGAGTAATCAATCGTTTGCTATAATTTTATTAATAAATTTAAATGTACATATTGTACTAACAAATAATGTAAAATATGATATAATATTAATATTATTTTATTGCTTTACCAATTATTTGGATGCACTAAAAAAACACAACACTAATTCATCGTGCGACTACGAAGATATTTGTATTGGTCATACTAATATTTACAGAGAGGAAGTTTAAAACACATAGTAGATATTGCCCTTTTTATATTATTTATTACTAGCGGATTTTGTTCACAATTTTAAGGCTTTTTTTTGCGCTAAGCCCTATTTCTTTTTCTATAATAGAAGAATCCTAAGTTACTCCTTATAAAATCAGCTATCTGCCATTTTGGAGATTAGCCAGAACAAGCAGGCAAACAGGCACACGGGAAAAATGTATTTTTTTCTTATAAGAACCGTTTGTATATACATTATAATTTATGCATTTAGTAAAAACCTGTTATTTTGACACTACAGACACTTCAATTTTATTTGTAAATCTATTGCTTAATGGCAAACCGAAAATAAAACTTTATATGTACACTTTACATGTAACAGAAACAGTACATTAATAATAAAAAATAATTAAAAAGAACTCACCAGGAGGCAAAGGCTCTTCACATTCGATTATTCCACCAATCATATTGGCCGGGAAATCTCCAGTCAAAGCCATCTGCCGCGAAGCTCTTTCTGGGATCGATGGTAATCTAATCCCAGCCATATGTCTCAAAGGCGTTGGTGAAGCCACAGCATTATCATTATCATCATTATCATCTATAGGTGGCCTTCGTAACACAACATCTTCCGGTGGTCCAGCGTGGACTATCGTGAAGTGATTGCTATTCACAAATTCTAAGTTCGGAGATCTAATCTCCGATGTTCTCAGTTCATTAGTAAATTCAACCATTTCAAAGTTTACGTGTCTGGTTTCCGAGTTTTGTATGGGTGGAGGATGTAGGTCAGGAGGTGGCAAGGGTCGTGGCCTTCTTGCATGGTGAGTAGGTGTTGGTGGGCATTGAGGCACACCCGAGGCAGCTAAAGCAGCCACTCGTGTCAATGCCCTTGGATGTGGTCTCATAGGACTATCCGGAGTATCCTTAGATGTATTCGCTTTATGGGGTGAATGTTTAGGAGTTCCTTCACATCCTAGGTTTTTTAATAAATGCCGAGGCAAACTCGAATGCCTTGGTGTAGAACTATCGCAAGAATATTTTCGATTCATTATCATGGTTCCAACACTTGGTATCTTATTCGATTCTTCTACAGGTGAAGTAGAATGTGACGAGTTACAGGAACTTGGAGCTTCAGGGCTAATATTACCATCACGTCTTTCTTGACTTGGCCCATCGATATGCGAAGAATTTAAAAACGCTGTCATCATCGTTGGAGTAGCGCGACCTGAGCTTTGCCGCGTAAGAGGTTTATGACCTTTCAAGATTATTTCTTTTTCCTCAATTTGATTTCTATTATCATCTTCAAAATCTTGATGATTACTTATATCATTAAGAAATGTATGCTGTTGTTTTTCTTCAGATTTTGCATGGTTTGGCGTAGAATGACAGCTGTCAACATTTTTGTCTTTCCTAGCAAACGTGGTCGTAATATAATTGTCTGGACCTATATCTTTTATAAACATTATAGTATTCATATTTGCGCTTTGCGCACTATCAGGTACATCACTTGTTTTCTTATCATCGACTAACCTAGATACTTTCATAGAAACTGTTGATTCACATAAGCTGCCATCAGTCTCAGGTGTCGCCAAAGGCGCGACGTTTTGACATTCCCTCAAAAAGCTTGCCGTCGAGGACATCGGTACATGAGCACCGTTATAAAATTCTCCCGGCTTAAAATCATTAATATCTCCTTGTAAAGCTGCAGAGTTGGCAATATTATTGTCAGTAAAAAATTGTTCATCCGTATCAATTAGCTCAAATGTAAAAGCATCTTCAGGTTTAGTTAATTTTTTAGGTTTCCGATGCCTTTGAACAATAGGAGGTAAAGCGTGCATTCTTTCTAAAGGTTTGTGTGATTGTCTAGGCGGTAAGGGCGGCACTGGAGATTTTTGAGCATCATTTGGCACATTTGCACCTTCGACGTCGTATACAAACTTCATAATTTTGCAAGGATTCTGGGGTGACCATATCTTGTAGTACTCCGTATCTGGTGATGTAGGCGATTCAAAGCCGATATTCGTATTAGTTTTTTTCTTAACACCGTTTAATGCTTGTGCGCCTCCTGTATCAACAGGGGGTGGGCATTTCTTTTTTACGCCTGAAGAGGTTGGCTTACAATTCGGAGCACTTCGAGATTCACTATTTACAATTTGAGATTCAATACTATTATTAACTAGAGATTTACTAGGATCACATTTAATTTGTTCGAGATTCGCAGTCCCGCTACTATCTAAAGCGTTAATTGAGCATTTATTGACGTTTTCACTAAGATGCTTGATGTCCTGACTTGTGCTGACGAGTTCCATTCGGGGCATATTCTCAGAATTCATTTCAAAGCTCTCATTATTGTAAGAGAAAGGCGAAACCTGGTCACCACTTCTCTTCCTTGAAATACCTTCTTTAAGACGTAACGGCAGCTTTTTGAGGTCAACTTTAAATCGTGACGGCAGAGAGGACGACTCCGCCACGCATTCGTCTTCTTCGCCATTGTAGTAGCGAAAGCACAAGAGCTGTTCACAGTCTGAAAAATGTAAAAATATTAAGTTAACAAGTGATGATTCAAATTAAAAATAATTAAAAATATTTCGATATAGAAATTCACCTTCATAAGGCTGATTGGGCTCATCAAGCAGCCACATTATATGGCCAGTGTCGCATCCGGTCGCCGGCACGAGCCTGGCGATACCGGCGATGCTCGCAGTCTCTGTAAACGGACATAATAAAAAATTATCGCTTTGCCATTTATGAACAATCGTTTTTGTCATTTTATATATACGTAATTAGTAATATACCAACGTGATTTTACTTTATACTTTAATTAATTCTTTGTTTCTATGTTCAAATAAATTCTATATTGGATGGTTAATGTACTGGTATTGCAGAAATGGCTATTTGCATTTATATTGAAGAAGGACATTATAATAAAAAAACTAAGGACATTATATGCAGGCGGATCTCAATATGAAAAACAAAACACGTGCAGGTGCAAAGAACTGAGAGCTACAATAAAAACAAACAAATGTGCGACCAAGAAACAGCGAACGCGCGGCGGGACGAACCCTTCCGTTTTTTATCTAACAAAAATCAACGCGTAGGATGCGCAGTTTGGCGCTGGCGCATCACAAATTATGTGCCAGACGTAATCGCCGGATGCAGAAGTCGCCCGCACATTAATGCAAAATAATCGAAGCCACCGAATTGCCAGTTAATTGGGAAAACATGGCCATAAATAGCACGAACGCAAATTGATTTTGCAGAAAGACCGCCGCATCTACCAAGGTATTACCATATTTTAATTGGGGTTAAAATATGAGCGAAAAGTTAACATCTTCCTGTCGCTGATTAAGTGTTGGACACGCTCGTAAATATTGATCGTAGTCGAAATGTTTACATCAAACATTTATATTTAATTTTAACCGAAACCGACTAAAGAATGAAGTACGCTAACAATATCTGGAACTAAAATGGAGAAAAAAGTATAAGTAACGTAGGATGGATAAACTGCGGAATTATCTCGGGTCTGTTTCCGTTCGGAAATAATTACTTCCCCAGTCAAATTGACTGACGTGATCAATGGCCCCCATTACGTTTTTGTTTCTACGCATTGGAAATGAGCTCTCATTTGTAGATAAACACACAGTATGTGCAAACTGAAAATTGTTTAATCATCACCGTTTCCTCGGTCGTTAAGCCGTTCTATTTGAAAAAATAAGGATTGTTTGAATAAATAGTGATGTTTTATTTAGACGTTAGAGTCGCTAGTTATTTATATTATTTATTAACCTGTTAATAAGCTATGCGTATATATTTTCCATATTTCAAGTTTAAACTATTACGGTAAGCCATTTTCACTTCTTTAAAAAAAAATAGTTTTATATTTTTAATTTATGTTTTCTTTGATAAATTTTTTTCTTTGATATCGCTGTTGCTGTAACTACAAATTTCGAAATGGCACTTTATATAACATGAGTTAAATTATTTAATAATTTCAAAAGAGACTCCTGGAGTGAGAAAAATTGTAAATCAAAAAATCGGAAAATGACTCATCAAGAGTACACGTTCTATACGACTTAGTTACAGGCACAGGCAAACCACCTTAAAGCTAGCGGAGCCTCAACTAAAAATTCTCCGCAATTTATTTTGCTTGTTAAGACCTTGCCTCAAACTGATTTCTATAAATTTAATTAAATTTGCATATTTTTTCGGAAAGTCAAACATCAAAGTGTTCTTTAAAGAGTTTATTGATTCTTGTCCCCAATATTTCAAAAGGACATCAAATAATTTCCATAAAAAAAATTGAAATGGCAATTTAGGTACAGGTAGGAATTAATAAAAAAAACTACATCTATTTACGTTCATTAAGCGAATAAAATTGTTCTTTATATATTATAGTAATTATTTATAGTCAGATGAAGCGCAAATTCACTAGAATCGGAACATATACAATGACGGCTGCGGTGACGACACGCGTGACACAGGGCTATTTCCGGCGGTGACGCAACATCCGCGTTTCCGCAGGATACGAGATACAATGTAGACGAGATCAACTGATGTACTTCCGCGGGATTTTGCTATGTCACACTCGAATATATGTTATCAATATAAGAGGAAATCCAGTTAAATAGATGATTAAAAATATAGGTCAAATTATCTGCTAAAAGCCCGGTACAAGGTACGCGAAGGGTAAAACGTTAATTTCTATTCTCTACATATATTCAATCTAATCAAATCGCGCTAATAAAAATTAGACTGACAAATATATAAAAGAAAGTCTGAATTCGGTAATTTTGGCTTTTATTTGGCCCTAGCTTTATAGTAGACCTACTAGTGACTGACCCTTGCTTCGCTCGAGTGCGTCCCTACGCTTGAATGGTTAAGGAATGCATAAAACTCAAACGTTCTAGGAAAAATTCCTTTTTTGTGCCAGAAACCTTCACAGGCGTTTACAGAGTAACCAACAGTTTCATCACAATCGGATTAATGGTTTGGGAACGCATAGAGGACAAGCATACAAATTAATTTTTATAGGCAATGTCGCTTACATTTTATAATTCGTTTTCATAATATAGTAATTTGACGGGAATATTTAATTACATATATGTAGATAATATAAGATGCAACTAATACCATCGACAGGATAATATGGCGACAAGTACCTACGTTCAAGTTTGGTCAACAGAACTAGGTACATCACCATGTGTATTTAGGCACACACTTCGAAATTTTAATTAACTTTATTTCCTCAAGATCGATATATATATGTCCTTGAAGGACAACTCACTTAATTCTTATTACCGAAAACAGACTACAAAAACAACAATAGATAAAATCATACTTAGTTGATGATGACCTTATAATTTTAATTAAAACAACTTAGCAACAATGTAAATAAAATTTAGAACAAGAAAAAATGTATGATTAATATCTTTTCCGCCTATTTTAAAGAAGAACGCACAGGCACTTCAAAAAAATTCGAGCCAAGTCTGACAAAATTTAAAGGAAACATCTGTTAATCATGGAGCTTCCCCGAATCTTGGATCAAAATATATTTTTAGTATTTGTAAATCGGAAATCCATATATTAACTTCATTGGTGTCTGGCATATTATTCTAACACTATATAATCACGTAGAGCTAATCGCTCATGATCTAGCACTATTATTATAATCTATAGATTAAAGTATTTGTGCAGCGTCCTATAGCGGCCTATAATTATGAGCGTACCATGACAATCGAACAATGTGTCACGCCACCAGTTATTAGGCGGAAGTTTGTAGTTAAACTAAACTACGGTCATCTCAAGCCCTATTTGTTGATTCCAACGCCTACGACACTACTGTTTTAACTGTTTTTTTTTGATTAATACCTTTTTAAGTGGAACTATCTTTATGTTATTATTCTAACGCAAATTTCCTTGATCCTGAAGTTGTCGGGAAAAAAAATTACATCGTCAAAACTTATTTAAAAAATAATTTTGTCGACAATATTTAATAAAGGCATGTAATAATAATGGGGTATGATATTACATAGGCGTACTAATTATAAGTTAATTGTATTTCAATAGGCAATAGTAGTAGCAATCCGTTAGTTGAGGCATAAAATAAATCCGTTATCAACAGGACCAAAACTCAAAATAAGACTAGTTGAAACAAACACTCTCATCAACGCCAGACATCTGCTACAAAGAGACAAAACACCACAAACCACAGCACAAGCACTTCAGAATATCCGTCTCAAAATACCATTAGGACAACAGGAAACGCAAGTTTAAAGGGGTCGAGCCGATGACAGACCCCCATTAGCGAAGTGACGATTTGACAGCTTCACGAGGTTGTTGGAACGTTGACGTGCGACTAAATAACGTTACCAACTTTCACACGATTCGAAAAGTATTGTCTGTACCAACAACACTTCTAATCGATAGCGATGATTGAAGCTTTACAAACAAAAAAGTATAATTAAATACGATAACTCTTAACGACGGGTGATGGGCGACGACTAAAACCGTACTATCTGAGTTAAAAATAAAAAACTAAAGAACTTGAAAATCTCGTTGCGAATTAAGATTAAGCCAGAACACGTTTTTATAGTTTGGAGACAATATGTCTGTAAAGTCTTGTAATTTATTCGGGCTTTAATACATTCATTTACACGTTCGTCACTTTTATAGCCCAATCGTTACTCCAAGAGCAGACGCATTTTAAAAAATTCCTTCCCATTCATTCCCAACCATTAAGGACCGGTTAATTTTACGACGGTGGACCACTTAAAATTCCACGGTGCGAACACAAATCGCACCGGAAATTAAAATTTAAAAACGATACAATGCATGTTTGCACCTACATACGTTGGTACTATAAAATTTGTTTTTAAATGAAAAATAGAAATAGGTAATGACAATTCGTTGATTATACTCTATAGTTATCGCTATATGGAAAGATTTTGACTAACAAAAATATTTGCTGCCCATGCATCATTTACCTTAGATTAAGTTAGGTTTGTAGTTTAAAAAAAAAATTTTTTTAAGAAATCGTCGCATTAGTGCTTATTTGTTTAAACTACCGATGCTTATTTTACTTTACAATAGAGTGTTTTATTCTCTACTTTAAAACAACGATATATATATATATACATATATATATATATATATATATATATATATATATATATATAGAGAGAGAGAGAGAGAAAATATATATTTTTTCAGTTTTATTAACGTTTAGTATAGATTTTTTAGAGATCAAATATTTTCACGCAGTCAAAGTATCCTATATGTTGATCCGAACAATCAGCTATCACCATACCAAATTACATCAAAATCCCTCCAGTAGTTTACCGTGATGCGGCTACAGACAGACAGACAAAAATTCTAAAAACCATAGATTCGGTCTCTGTATCGATAATAAACAAAAACATTTAATGTACAGATTCAACTCAGAATTTTATTATATGTATAGAAAATGTGTTTTTAATACCAATAGAATTGACATTTAAAAAGTCAATAATTCTGTATTAAAAAAATAAAAACTCTTTCGGTAAATCTGTCATTTGCACAAATAAGCACTGAGACGACGAAATATCGATATTTTTTGTTTTCTTTTAGTAGATTTCTATAAAGCGAGTTTAATATCCGCTAAACATCCTTAGCAATAGCGGGACACTAATGAAGTCACGGACAACTGGTAAATGAAATAAAATATCAATC